GTTTCATGTAGCAGACTTTGAGACAAAGTTACGCGTTTCTACCACTGTAGGTGACTTTTCACTAAGTCTCTGTGGCGCAATCGGTTAGCGCGTTCGGCTGTTAACTGAAAGCTTTGTGGTTCAAGCCCACCCAGGGACGATTTAGGCATTTTGCTGCCTTGCAACTGCTAACACGTGCACTGGACATAGATCCTAGGCCACATTCTGTCCAGCGTTACAAGACGAAATCAGGATTTAGCAGAACATTGTCACGGGTAGGGAAGGTATTACTGTAAACGGTTTCTGGTTCCTAAAACAGCTTCTCATCATCCCCACTAGCTCAGTCGATAGAGCATGAGACTCTTAATCTCAGTGTCGTGGGTTAGAGCCCCACATTGGGCGTTTCTGTTACCTCTCTTTCTCTCAGCAAACTTACATTAGGGTTCATATAGCAGACCTTTTGAGACAAAGTTCCGCGTTTCTACCACTGTAGGTCACCTTTCACTAAGTCTCTGTGGCGCAATCGGTTAGCGCGTTCGGCTGTTAACTGAAAGCTTGGTGGTTCAAGCCCACCCAGGGACGGATCAAGCATTTTGCTGCCTTGCAACTGCTTACACGTGCACTGGACATAGATCCTGGGCCACATTCTGTCCAGCGTTACAAGATGAAATCAGGATTTAGCAGAACATTGTCACGGGTAGGGAAGGTATTACTGTAAACAGTGTTTAGCTCTTAAAACTGCTGCTCATCAGCCCGGCTAGCTCAGTCGGTAGAGCATGAGACTCTTAATGTCAGGGTCGTGGGTTAGAGCCCCATATTGGGCGTTTCTGTTACTTTTCTCTCTCTCTCCCAGCAAACTTACATTAGACTTAATGTAGCAGACTTTGAGACAAAGTTACGCGTTTCTACCACTGTAGGTGACTCTTCACTAAGTCTCTGTGGCGCAATCGGTTAGCGCGTTCGGCTGTTAACTGAAAGGTTGGTGGTTCAAGCCCACCTAGGGACGGATCAATCATTTTGCTGCCTTGCAACTGCTAACATGTGCACTAGACAAAGATCCTGGGCCACATTCTGTCCAGCGTTACAAGATGAAATCAGGATTTAGCAGAACATTGTCATGGGTAGGGAAGTTATCACTGTTAACAGTGTCTAGTTCTTGTGGGCACTCCTCATCTGCCCGGCTAGCTCAGTCGGTAGAGCATGAGACTCCTAATCTCAGGGTCATCGATTTGAGCCCCACGTTGGGCGTTTCTGTTACTTTTCTCTCTCTCTCTCTCAGCAAACTTACATTAGCGTTCGTATAGCAGACCTTTTGAGACAAAGTTCCGCGTTTCTACCACTGTAGGTGACCATTCCCTAAGTCTCTGTGGCAACATTATGAAGCTGCAGGCCCCGAGACCCAACAGCACGCTCAGACCTGCTCGCTCAGACCAGCACTTCCAGACCTATCGTTTTCTCAGACAGTGCCACCTGCTGTTGGAAAAATTGCCTAACCTGAATTCATTGATTTATAAATTGTAAATTACACTATTTTTCTACTATAAAATATTGCACTATGATTGAATACATTATTATATAAAATATTAAACATACTAGATTATGATTTAATGCATTAAGTTTGTTGTATTTTAATTAACTGTATTTGTAAATAGATATTGTTCAGTTACTTAAATATTTTCAGTCATTTATTGTTTTTGTTGTTGTTTTTTTGTTTTTAAATCATTAAGGATTTATCAAACTCTTTAGTATTGAGTTGAGGGAATGAACATTATCTTATTATTCACACAATAAATGATAGTACTCTGAGTAATTTTCTCACACCAAACTTTATTTTTTTATAAATTTTCATGAGGTCCTACAAGTCACAATACTTGGATTAATAATGTATTTATTACATATAAAATAAAATAAAATGCTTTACATTCTTGTTGGGGAGATTTTTCATTTCTCGAGCAATGCTTCTGTTAAATTCCTCAACTTCAAAAAAAAAAAAAAATGCTGTTGTCAGAAATTGTGTTTAACATAAAAACTTAACAGCTTTTGTACAAAAAAAATGTAAACATACCTTGCGCGATAAATGGGGCCCAGGAGGAAGACATCTTCAGCCTCCTGCCAAGACAAGCCTTGTAACTCGGAAATGCCATGAGTTATGGCCTGTACAAACATACAGATAAACCAATTAATAAAATAAAACACACACTGCAGAACATAAGCATGCTCATGTACATACATGTTTTGTGATTACCTCTGGGAGGAGACATCCACAAATGAACTCCACCTCATCATTGAAGGTCAGCTGTGTTTTGGTTTTATTAAGAATTCCTCTGATGTATTCACAAATGATTGACTGGGACTGCTCATTCTCAATGTAGACAGGCACTTGAGAACGGGGTTTTAGTGGAAACCAATTTGACCTTTTCCCACCGAGTATATCCTTTGGGCCATAGAAGGAAATTATATTTCATATGTAAATGCACAAGTAATTAATTATATTTGGCAAATAATAGTTAAATTGTCACTTGACTAGATTTAAGTCAACCATACTCAGAGTCTAGAGGAGTAATTTAAAGTGGAACCATCTATACCACCAAATGCTGCTCTGGTGATTTTGATGTGATAATCAAGTCCACTAATCTTTTGTCATTCCTTTCCCGATCTTGAACTTCTTGGACATGTGCCGGAAGATTGGATGTGGTTTTTCTTTTCACCCTAAAAAGGAGCCGAATCTTTCCATCCAAGACACTTCTTGCCTCCTCAGTCCAGAAAGCAAATCTGTGCCCATAGCTTTTAATAACAAGACAAGACAAAATCCATAATTACTGTGTAACGAGGAGACTGACACGGAGGGATCTATTATGCAGTATTTATTAATCACAACTTCACTCAAACACACAATATGCACCGGAGTGCACACACACATCCACAGTAGTAGTATGGGTATCAAGACTGATGATGAACAGACACAGAGTGAGTTACCAGGCATGAGTGGAAGGAAGGGAGTGAGCGAGAACCAGGATCCGTTATGCAGGCTTGGGTCAAGGGCAGGCAGCAAGGATCAGAGTCCGTATAACAGGCGTGGTTCGTGGGCAGGCAGAGAGAGAGTCAGAGTCCGTATAACAAGCGTGGGTCGTGGGCAGGCAGAAGGCGAAGCAAAGTAAGAGACAGGCTGGAGTCGTGCACAGGAGATCAGGCTGGAGATAATGCTCAGAAATGCTGGCCGGGGCTAAACAAGACTTCGCCTTGAACGAGTGTTTGAGTGCGGCTTATAAGAGGTACGTGGGTCATTAGCCAGATTCCAATCAGGTGTATGCGCAATCAGTGTAGATGGATGACGTAATGCTAAAAGTCCGGAGATGGTGGCCTCTGCTGGCCAGCGAGGGGAGTTACTGGGACCGAGTCGGTGACATACTGGTCACCGGTAAGAGAGATTTTAAGTATGTTTTGTTATTCATGTTACAAGTTGTTGTATTGACACAATATAAATTTTTAATTTTACAGATTTACAAGAAAAATAAATAAATACTGACATACCCATCAATTTGAAATCGTTCCATGAGTAGAAGGCACCACCACTGACGGATGATAGGTATATCCATCTGAAAGAAAGACCGTTTAGTCTGACAGTTAACCAACATGTTTTTGTTAATACATGATGTTGGGTGTGCTTGCAATAACCATGCCCCTTTTTTTAAAAGATATGTTACTTAGAAGAAAGCAAGATAATATACACTAAAATAGTTACATTTTAGCTATGATTAAAAAAAGCACCAACAAAATAAAGTTACATAAATAATAAAATAATACCTCCTGGAATTGAAACCCAATGCCACACACCATTGAGAGGGTGTACTGAAAAGAGAGAGGCCACAGTCATTTACAATGTTTACAAAATCTTCAAATCAATTCACTCAATTTATATCTTACCATGAGTACAAAAACACCACAATCATTCCCTCTTGTCTGACGTGGCAAAGCCTAAAATAGGCAAAGCAAATCAATTTTATTTTAGAATAATGTACAAAAAATTTAATTGTTGTAAAAGCCAAATAATAATTTTTTTTAAGTTGATTCCTCACTGGAAAATCATATCCAGTCTTTTCAGACCATGTCCCATGATCCACTTGGTAAGCAATTTTCCTGTAAACAAAACATAGTAGTAATACTAACAATTACAGCTCACCTCAACTCTAGAACACCATGCATAAAAAAGGCTAGATGAACATAGCCAGAAGTTCAAGAAACGGCTATAGGAATGTAGCCAAAAGTGGCAGAACTATAATACACGGTTAGGAAATAAATAGAAACGGCTATAGGAACGTAGCCATATATCACATAAAGGCTGAAACGTCTTAGTTTATTGATAGACCTAAAAATTGCCCTGTATTCCTCATCTCCAAATCCTGATTCATGCTCTGCGTACAGAGAGTCTAAAAACACCATCTCTCTTCGAAGCGGCATCATTATCTACAATGTTAAAGATGTAAAAATATTTCATTTGAACATTATTGCTTCTTCCAAGATTTTTCAGTGTTTTATTTTAGAAACACACACATTGCAATACCAATTAATGTATGCACTAGACATTTCAATATTTTCTTACACAGACAACAAAGTGGTCTGGTCCATTGGCATTTGTCCATGCTGGAAAGGCTAACAGGTCTTTCAAGTCTGCATCTTCCTAGAATTGATCAGGACAGTTATGTCGTTTAATTTAGGTTGTACTTCTCACACAGTGAATACAGTACATACACGCACCGGTAATCCAGTAACAATGTTGTTAGGAGTTTCTTTCCACACATGGACAACATAAAAGTCCTCAATGTATATGTCCTTGCCCTACATGAATAAAAAGAAACTGTTGAAATTTATGCTTTAGGAGTTTTTTATGCTTTTTATGCTATAAGGAGGAGAATTTATGCTTTAGAAATTGTTTTTTTTTTTATTTGGATCAAGTTAAAACAATCTATATAAATATTATATTTTATAGTACATACAATTTGTCGAGCCATTTCACAAATAATCTTCATGCAGGCGTTTCCAATCTGCAATAAATACTTTGATAAGTCAATGTTTTTAATAAAAAAAAAGTTATAATAAAAAAACAGACTGATACATGGGAGTCCATGTCCCTCAACAATCCAAGGCTCCAAAATTCTTCTCGAATAAGGCACACTTGCCCCTCCTTCACAATTATTTCACTGCCAGGGCAATTTCGGTCCAGCACATAATCAAGCTGTAATAATAATAATAACAATAAATATGTGTGTGTGTGTGTGTGTGTGTGTGTGTGTGTGTGTGTGCGCGTTTGTATGTAATAGTAATTGTTCACCAGTTTCTCTTGTAATGGATGCCAGTCCCTCTCCCAAGGCTTAGTAGGTTCCAAAAAATTCAGGAGAGTGGTAGGTTCACAAGCAGTTTTTTCTGTAATTGGTACTGATGATGGTACTGAATTTGTAAAGTCACAATATTTTCTGGCAGTGCTGTCAGTGGTCCTTAGAGTACATTAAAGCATCAAAATTAGAAAATAACACATAATAATTAGAGAACAGAAACTTGACACTGAGCAACTAGAAAGAACAGTCAAATTACCAAGTGACATGTCCATGCATTTCTCTGTGGAGGATGAATTTTCTATAAATACAAATATACACATAAGTACAGTTATGGATATAGTGATGTATTTGTTACAAAGTAAGTGTGACGAGGGTATAGAGTAGGGTTTAAATCTCTTTAAATAGAAATAACCGACTACGCCACCCCAGGAGTTACCCAGGGAAACACTATTAGAAAAGGACACAGGTTCGTTTCTCCCAGAAAGGCACAGAGACGTGAGTTAATGAAAAAGTACAAAAATATTTATTTGGAATAAAACTATCAAATGGTACGGTTCTTTAAAAATACATCAAAAACTCCCACTTCATTATTAAACACAAGAAACAATAAATAAACAAAACCAAACCAGGATTGGAGGTTCCCACTGACTGGGTACGAGTGGACAGACTTTACCCCAGCACACGCACACACCACAGTGCACTCAAAAATCACGCTATCACGCACTCAGTGTCCACAGCACACGATAGAGAAACACCACCACCAGTGGAAAGTGACCCGTCATCCACCGGGGGAAACCTCAGTTCCTGAAATAAATAAAAATAAAAATCAATAACCAACAAAACACAAATAAGTGGGTCAATCAGGTTAACACCTACTTTACATGATCTAATTGAAAGATAGCTACAGCTGTATTTACACCATCTGACCTACACTAGACCCAACATTAACTGTTACTAGAAATAAGACTAAACTCACAAAAGAATACTCTTAATAACGAAAAACAAATCAATACTTTGCATAAATAAAGACACAACAAAAAACAGAAGACTGCTAATGTTGACAAATCAATTATCCAACACAAATAAACAAATGAAAGAATGAAGGGGAGCACAAAGCAGCACGCTAAGAATTATTGCAGGCAGTCCCCGCTAGCAGCTGCATTGGTGGTGTCCAAGCGGCAGCCAATACGCCGGCATTAGCATTAGCAGCAGTTGCAGACGGTCTCCGGTAACCACGGCAATAGCGATGAACACGGGAGCTAGTTGGCAAATGATACCAGAGGAAGATCCGACGTAAAAGAGAAAAGGGTAGAAAGAAAGGGGAAAGGGAGGATCCTAAGGAGGAAAAGCGCAAACAAGCCCATTAACATGGTCCTTTAAATGATCACACCCAATCATACGTGCTACCCTTACCAATGGGCGCACACTCAGACACGTTCTAATCACTCGTTGGTCGATACAATACAGCGAGGTGCCGGAATTAATAGCTGTACAGCATGAAACACGCAGGTTAAAAGCGGCTAAACCCCATTACTCAGCCAGTTCAAAGCTATCACATACCTGCAATTGAACAGTCATCCAGCCACCACAGCCAAGGGAAAAGCCACCGCCACACGATGCACTAGAACATTGCCAAAAGAGAGCTTACCGTGGGTCGAATCAAACAACTTACAAAAAATTCAGACCGAGCGCAGAGCCTCTACCTGTAGCCGCGGCTACAGACACCCAAACCAGTGCGTCGGAGTCGGACGTGACGTATCCCAAGCACCAACCAATCAGGTTTAAAAAGGCGGTGCTACGTGCCGATTGGCCGATGTCAATGCCAATCAGCTGCACAGCACCATCACATTTTGGTTACTCATATCAATCAGCTGCACTACACCATCACATTCTGAAATGAAACATCTTGTGCAAATATGTGTAAAATGTAAAATTGTAATTGTATGAATATTTCTTAATAAAAAAAAAATAAATCTCATCTGAACTCGGAAGTAAAGCAGGGTCGGGCCTGGTTAGTACTTGGATGGGAGACCGCCTGGGAATACCAGGTGCTGTAAGCTTTTCGAAGTCCTTCATTTGGCAGCGGATAGGCTTCCCCGTGTCACAGCTCCGCTGCCATTATTTTTTCTCGCCTTCAAGGGCATTGTTTCTGTCGGTGCTGTGTCGATGCCAGCTGAGCTGCGCTCGGTCCCTGGTGCTGCGACTGTTTTAAATAGCCAACTGTTGACAGCCTCTCTCGCTTACGGCCATACCACCCTGGACACGCCCTCTAGTGTGAGTTAGAGTTGTTGCACTACAGGAAGTGAGTTGGCAGAAGGAAGAGAGAGGCTCTTCCATTTTGGCAGTTTTGTTTTTTAGTTTTAGTATTACAAAGTTTACTTTAATTGTTTTTTCAGCTAAAGATTATTTTTACTAACACCAAACAGTAACACTGTTTTGGGGTTAAAAAACAACAACATGAACACAACAGAGAAAGAGAATAGACTGGAAACAAATGAACCAAGGAACGGGGAACAAGGAAATCCTACAAACATATTTGAAAGGACTCGAAATGAAGATGACGGAGAAAACAGCAATGAGACATGGGCAACAGTTGTTTCAAAGAAAAAAGAAGGAAAAGGAGGTGGCCAAGAAAAGGAAGGGGATCTACAATCAAATGCAAGTATTGAAAGTGAAAAGAATATTGAAGGACAAAGGAATGCTTTAAGTCAAAAACAACAGATGCTGAACAAACTAAAGAAGCAAGCAAGGTATCAAAGAGAGTACAAGAAGGAAGCCACACTAACAATGATGGTAAGAGACATTGAAAACTCAATTATAAACAACATAATTAAAGTAGTGGAAGACAAAGTCGGGATTGGCAAACTACTTGGACCGAGAAGAAAAAACAATAATGAATTTGAGCTGACAATGGAAAGTGATAAAAAATGCGAGATATTGATAAACGGACTGATGATTAATGGAGAAGAATGTGAAGTGAAAAAGCTGTGTGCAACAGAAAAAATGGTATCTTTTCTGAACTTGCCAAGTTATATACAAGATGATGAGATACAACAGAAACTAAGTAATTGGGGAGTAACTGATATGTAAAAAATTATTGTAATATTTTTTTTGCCATATCGCCCAGCTCTACTATACAGTAGTGAGAGCAACATCAACTGCATTACAAGTTCAAAACAAAAACAACACCTGGTACCGTTTAAACCATTGTACCAGAGTTCCTAAGCTAAGAAACAGTAAAAAAAATTGCGATCTAGCACAGGAAGTACATAAGCAGCATATAACAAGTAATGACTCTCTTGAATTTCAACATGGACAACATGAACTGGTTGGAGGAGAAACAGCGGACCTGTCGATTTATGTAAAACCGCCGGCCTCTGGGGAACAACAGGAGGACCCTACTATGGAAGGAAATCATGCTACTGTCAATGATAATACAGAATGCATATGTGAACATGAGTAAAGAGATAATCTTTCCCCAGATAAAGGACAATCGGATAATGGAATGGAATGAGACCTATCAACAATCGACTTCTCAGCTTTACTGGAAAGGGAAAAGCTGACCGATAAGCTGAAGGGGACCACTGCTGCATCAACATTACAAATATTAACCTCCAGAGGTGGATAGTAGTCAAGGAAAATGCTGGAAAAGACAAACACTTGAGTAATTGGTTTGCCTCCATATTTGGATCTTGGGGACAATGGTTGATAAAGTTGACGTATTTGGAGGTTACCATACTTGTTTTAGCTTAACTTTGTTGCTGTGTTGTGTCATTCATCAGATCAATGCTAGCCAGTGCTGCTGCCACACACATGGTTACTGTGCAAGTACAAGGAACAGTGCAAGCCCACCTCAACAGTGACTATGGCTATTAAAATATGCTTCCAAAATCCTCAGATTGGTCCATTGATGAGAACGTTACCACAAACCTGCTTGGATGAGTATCAAACCTTTTTTATCTTTTGTTTTTGAGTGTGCCATAATTCTTGTTTTTATGTTATTCCTGTTTTGTGGAAAAGTAAGGGAGATTTTCAAGCGTAGACAGACCTTTAGAATAATGAATAGTGTAGGCAGGTAGTTAGAGGATATTTTGTTTTTTATTTTGGCACTTAGACTCTTTTACATATATATGCCAAAAATTATTCCTATACAATGCAAGTAATCTTATGTTGTTTTCTATTTTCTTTTTCCTCTCGTTCTTTTTTATCAGAATGACATGAATGAAAAGAGGGTTTCAAGCAGGTCATTATCTGTGCTACGAGACAGAAGTGCAAACAGAAGGACCTGAAATTAAGGATATTAATCCTATAATCTACAATATTATCTTTTAATACTATATTGGTTATGTTTCTGGGTATGAAATGGACATTTATCGAAGCTGCAGGGTTCACATACTCACAGGGAAAAAGGACTTGAACTGAGTGCTTAATGGAACCAACTGTCACGACCCGGCTCAAAGGCAATGACAAAATCAAAGGGACGACATACACCAGATGGTTTGGTACCAAAAGTATTTATTTAAACATTAACGAATAATAAAGTGCTCACTTTAGGTAAGCCAAAATCAAAGATTAACCAAAGCTAAAAAGAAACTAAACAAAACAAACAGGAGCAAAAGCACGGCTTTCCAGAAGCCAACACTGCTGGCTTTTATAGAGGGGAACTCAAGTGTTCCCAATTGAGCAGATGAGTCTCTGTCCTTCCCGCTTTCGGCCGATCAGTGGGTGGGTCAAAGAGACTTGTCACACCAACGATCATCTTGAAGCTGGCGAATGCTGTAAGAGTAGGCTCTACTGATGGCTTAAAAGCCTGCTGCTCGCTCCAACACCAGACAATACTTAGTAGTACCTCTGGCAATGTGGGAGCAATCATCTTAAGACCAGTAGACAGTATCTTTTACTCCTTTCTAATCAAATAAAGGGGGAGATGTTTGGTTCCGCCTCTCCACTGGAGTGCAGCATAGGGAGGTTGACATTTGGTAAAGACTGTGAAAGGCAACTTTTTGTTGCATTAGTGAGGTTGATTGTACTGATATGTTCGTACCTTATGCTGCATTCCGGTTGAGGGTTAGGAAAGAGACTTTCTTCTGATATAGTCCCTCTAAAGGCTGATTTATACTTCTGCGTCAAGCCCATGCTTATGTTACGTCGCTGACGCATAGCCCTACGCCGTGGCCGTCGATGTTGCTGACGTGCACCTCTCAAAAAATTTAACTACACGTCGTGCGCAAGCTCTGTGATTAGTCGGCTTAGTAGCGCTGACGAGTCTGATTGAGACTGAGAGCCTTGCAGGCCCAATAGAGCGATTGTTTACAAGTGTGAAGTCCCGTGAGGAAGCTCCAGATAAAAAGTTTGTTTTGTGTTTACCTCATAGTAAAGTTGTTGCACGTCCGCCGGTTTCTGCTTAAAAAAAGAGCGAGTTTGAGTCACTTGTACATTCAGGAAGTGTTCAGGAAAAAAAAAGCACCAGCGAAGAAACTCAACACAGAGGAACATTTATACCTCACTGCCAACTAGCGTTTCGGAAGTGTTAATGCAGACCAACAGAGACAGCGCGCAGAAGTATAAATGCACAGCTACGCGTTGAATATTTAGCAGACCAGAATATTTTTTCCACAACAATTTACAATCACTTTTCCAACTGTCTTTGAATAAATCATAAGGTATGAACTCCTATTTTACAAACATACAAGGGCAATTAATGTCTATTTGCTCCGTGCGCTGCTCCAGATAGACAAACAAGCTACATCATCCTTTACCTTAGGTTCTTCGCAACAATATTAGTCCATTTTCAGCTTTTTCTGTTCTTGTGTGAATGAGTAATCCCCTGCTATGTCTTGTAAGTGCCAAATGCAACAAATTTGGGTCATGAAATTCCAACATTCAAAAAAATACGATAACGTATTTACAAAATGACCCTTTTTTTTATACTAGTCATTTTTCAAAATCTTTTGTTAGACTTTGCACATTACTTTTCTAAAATATCTATTTATATATAATTGCAGTTTATATATATTTGTACATTATTTATTTTACATTTAATGTGTGAAGGCCGTTTGGACATTGAAAAATAAAATGGAAAAAAGTACTACTGTGCCATTTGCTTTTTTGATATAGTGTTATGATTTTGATGTGGTTATGAAAAAGTAAAATTATGATTTTTGTGATAATAACCCTTGTAATATCTTGTTTTTCACTTTTGACAGGTAGGAAACTTGTGTTGTTTTTTCCCACCCTTCGGTTAAACTAAAATGATTCTTGCATACTACATGATTAAGACAAAATAATTTTTTCTCGTGCGTCCTGACATATGCTGGTAACAAACAAAAACTGTCCTCAGTTTGATAGAACACACAGGGCCTGAGTTATGCACTAAGACTTGCTTTAAAACAAAAAAAAACAAAGCTGTTTGTGTTGAGGTGGTTCATCATAGGACAGAAAACATATATAAAAATAGTTAGCATTTAACAGCAGTGTTTTTTGTAATTTCAAAGGGTTTTCTTTAAAATGACATCAAGATATTGCATTTATTGTACTTTATGTGGGTGTGGTGAGACTTTAAATTTAGGTAGGGGGAAATACTATTTTTTTTGACATGTTACCTTCTTCCAGTTGGAATAGAATAACTCTTGCATGCATTATTATAGGGAGAAATGTATTTTTCTTGTGTTTACTGACACCTGCTGGAAAAAAATGGAATTTTGATGGAGCACTCAAGGCCTGAGTTCCACATTTTTTAACTTCAGTTTATATAAAACAGTATTTTATGAAATTTCAAAGGATTTCTTTTAAAATTATACCAAACTTTTGTATTTATTCCTATGCATGTGGTTATGGAAAGCTTTTTTAAATCGGAAGGCCAAATTCAGGCGGAAATACCCAAAATAGCCCAAAAGCTTAACAGGTCAATTTCT